CAGGAGGGATAGGAGAAACAGGAGGCAGGAGCAGGCAGGAGCAAGAGAGCCGAGGGAGGATCGTCGCGCTAGGCATTTCTGCGTCGGACGGTTGCTACGGCCGCAGCCTCCGTAAGCGTCGCGACGTCTCTCGTTGCTCCAGTTCGCCTGCTCCCGTCGCACACAAAGAACGTACGGTTGCCGCTCCGCAGGCGCCGAAGCTCTTTTGCCTCATTCCTCGCTGTCACTGGGGATACTCGCGCGCGTTTTAAGGGGCATCCGGACTCATCGTTTCCCGCGGATTTACTTGGGCAAGTGACAGGGAATGGTGAGGGGGGCCACGTAGTCTGGACCAAATCCGGCGAGATGTCAAGGTGTTACGCGGGTGGACAACGGCGCGAATCGGGATGCTGTATGGACCGGCAGTAATACCTCATATGTACCTGTCAGTGCATTCTTGTAAGAGACTGTTGTCCATCTCCCTAACTCGCGATCCTTATCGTCTGTGTTCCTCCTTATCAGCGTCCCGATAACCTGGGACGCTTGTCCTTCGCGCGAGAAGTGCTTTTTATTGGCATTTTAGAGATGGAACGCTCGATGAAGTGATTTCGCGTCGTACGTTTGATTTTCATGTGGCGTAGCTTTTTCTGTTTTTCTTTTTTTTTTTTTTTTTTTTTTTTTTTTTTTTTTTTTTTTTTTTTTTTTTTTTTTTTTTTCGCTTGGATTTACACGGATTTACTGGTTTTCTGTTTCCTTTTTTTTTTATCTTTGCTCTCAACGCTCCGAAGAGATTTGGTTTTTATGCTCGTTTGCGGAACGCGTTATTAGGTTTGTTATTGCGATCTTAACGAGTGTGGCATGAGTTTCGTGAAGCTGTGGGTGTTCTTATCGGTATCTCCGTTTATCGAACGTTATCAATTTCGAGTTTTTTTTTTCCTTTTTCCTTCTAAAAGGAATACCTCCTTGAACTGTTTCGTGGCCTACGTTCCAATTATAGGTGTCCTTTAACATTATAAAGATAATGACCCTGCTTAATCGTTCAACCTTAAAGTGGGACATATGAGCATTCGTTGTCGCCTGTAGTGCAGTAGTCTATGTGCATACACAGATGAGGGTTGTAACTTTTCGAAATTTCGGACTGCTGTAAATTATCATTTCGCATAAGTATAAACGTCATCGATAAACCAGACTCAAGTCGTACTTAAAGTTCTGGACATCGTCGAGCACATAGACGGTAAATTCATCTGGGCATTTCCATTTGCGCGATATTCGCTTCGCACTGGCCGCTTCGTAGAATCGTTTCGCGTTTCAATGAATATTAATCCGATGCAATTATTACGCCTAAATTGAAACTCAAATACCAATCCGAGTTCTTTTGTGCTGGGTGAGGATTGTGCAGGACACGAGGTCACGCCGGAGCTTCCCCGTATCATATTTTCATATTTTCTTTTTTATCCCGAAACCACAATTGTCAGTGTTCACCGTGCGCTTCGTTATTTTACTTTTGTTACTTCAAACCTGATATTTTCTGATTCCCACCGTTTAAACTTTAGTATCTCAGTACGCGTCAGCATCCCTATGGGCCGCTCCCGCATCCGGATACAATGAGCCGCGTCTCGTTCGTTCGCTCCTCTAAAATAATGTCAATGACATCGTTAAAAAACGCAAAAATTCCCTAGTTCCAGCCCCGTAAGGCGACGCCAGTTCTGAATCGACGCTACGGCCGAATAGAGCGAACTCGTGCGTAATAGAACGACAGTGAATCATCCCCTGGAGTGTTTCCATTGTCCTTCGCTGTGACATGTTCGTCAACCGTGTTGCCGTTGATCGACAATATACGATAATACCAATACTGTCTATCCAGTAGCGAAGCCATTAGTAATCCAAGACAGAAGAGACTGAAGCGAAACAAAAATAAAAGGGGAAAAAAAAAAGATTTCGCAACGTAAGACTGCATAAAAAAAGAAGATTCACGTAAGCGCAGATAACTGCAGCTTTCTGCTATATTTATTGTGTCCCAAGGGGAGAAGTTCGTTCAAGAACAAAAAAAGACACACGGGAATCGACGAGGTGGAAGAAAAGCTGTGAAAAACCTACTGCAGGCAGAAATACACTTTGTACTTTCAACGCATTCTTCTTGATCCTACACGTAAGACACAAGCGAGGAAGTTGGTGGACAGTGAAGATAGAAGGCAAGGAGAGAAAGCAGAGCGTTGGAGGATTGTGAGTGAAGATTGAAGAAATAGAATAAGAGAAAGCGGCCGGGGGGGGGAGTCTCTCTTGGCCGGAAGTGGAAGGCAGTGATGTACGGGGCGTGAAGAGAGGTGAGTCGCTTTATCAAGATTTTTCCTCGAATGACAGGGAGGAAGGAGTCTCGCGCCGCGGGGACATTTGCATTTTATTGGCATAGAGGGCGACGAAAAATTTCACCCCTATAACCCACCTCGTGCTATATACCATTCGTTCTCCCTTCGTTTCCTAGAGTGCCTAAGCCATTATTAATACACAGTCTTTCACTACGCCTCATCCAATTCCCAAAGAGAGTTGCGTCTTTCGGAAAATTTGACGTTGAAAAATTCATCGTTATAGTCGAGACGGTGTATATTAATTATTATTTTTTTTTTTTTACGTATTCACGTCGGTAAGCTTTTATATAGGATTTGATAAATATTCGAGAAATTCAATGAGATATTGTAATCGTGACGTTCGGCTGTTCGTAAAGTTTCGTGCAAGGGTTGTTATTCGGCTCTTGGATAATTATGCGATAGTTATCCGAATGGGATATGTATAATGGACTTTCGATACTTCGGCTTGTTGCTTGGAGTTTTTACATTGAATTAACCGTAACGTCACTCGGTCTAGGACATATCCGCGCGGATGACGCTGTACCGGATAGAAATGAAAAGTTACGAATTCCCAAAAGCAATTGAACTAGTCGGAGTCATAACTCAATATTTGCCAAGAGCGTTGAAAGGCGGGCCGATTAACTTTTGATTAATTAGCCGTGGAAACGAACTTCGCCCTTCCCTGAAAAATAACCAAGTCGTAATTGAATATATACACCCCTCCGGTAGTAAAGGGTGGGTCGCGCGGCCATGTTGCGGTGAAAACTTTTTTTTTTTCTTTCTTTTTCATGACACCGAGAAAGAGTAGGCTTGGGCTAACCCCTGTTTACCCTATACCACCGCACGTAGTGCGTACTGTGCGAGGGGGTGGTTAACACCCCACAGTTGTTTGACTTTACCATATTAATTTGCCTCCCTTTCTCTTTTGAATTCTGTCTGCTTCTCATTTTATTTTCTCTCTCTCTCTTTTCTCTCTCCATTTCTCTTTTACCCATCCTCTGCTCATGACACGCTCCGTTGTCTCTATCACTTTCACTCTCTCGCTATGATAAATATTCTCTATCTCTTCGGCTCTTTTCTCTTTAATGTCCCCCCCCCCCCCCCC